CACAGCAGAGTGTTTCTATAGGTAGCTCAGAATAGGGCAACAGCAGTTAGTAGGTCTGCACTTATTCCCTCAGCAGGAATGTAAAGAACAGCAGCTCTTGTTTTTATGCCTAGTCTGTACCCTGCAGACAACATGGCTACCCATCATTGGTCTTGTAGGTGACCTCCTTAAACGACACTTCCTTTGCTGCGTACATGGCCATGTCTTCAGTGACATCACACCAACATTATACTATATAAGGGGATGTGATGCAGGGAGTTTGTCACTGTGCGGTGCATGACTCAATACTTGCAGCAGCTTGTTTTCTTTGCAGTATCACAGGCATCACTATTCCATGGTGTCCAATCCTGCCACTTGAAGTGAGGCTGAATCCACCACACCAGCTGCTTATTTAGCCATAGAACACAGGTTTAAGGTATCTCCCTGTTTCTTTTCTGGTGCTTCCTCCATTATAGATTGTGTCAAGGCGGAGCTGTGGAGGGCTCAGAGGTATCTATAGAGAGGCTATAACAGTAGCAGCTGGAGCAATGGGGGAATAATGCACAGAAGAAAATGTAGTGCTGCGCCACCGCTCTGTTGTACTTACGGAAGGCAGGTTTAGGGCTGGCAGTGTTAGCATCATGATGCTGATGGATAAGCGTTAGCTAGTTTGCTAGTTGGCAAAGACATTTCTCTGTTTGGAAAGGAAAGACATGTGAAGCTATACAGGAGCATGCTATGTTATACAATGTGTCAATATGAGTTATAGTGTGTCAAATGCAGTTTTGTTACACTGTAGATCAAATGTGTGAGTTTAGGGTATGGGATCTAACATTCCAGAGGTGTCATTAGCCTACAGCCCTGCAGATGAACTGAGAGCCAAACAACTACAAACATGGAAGCATGCACAAGTGACCTCTCATCTTCACTGAGCTACAGTAAAGAGGTGTTTCACATTCTCTCTCCCCCCCCCCCCCACCCCCGCCTTCCATCACATTTTCTCCCATCCAATCACAGCCTCAGTATATAATTTCTGCAAGCACTTTGAATTTGTGAATGAAATTCAGCAAAGCTAGTGTCCAGGAGCATATCATGAAAGATAGGCAACCCTTATGTGTTTTTCCAGCCTAGTTTGAATCTCTTATGAGCTGTGTTGGGATTTTAATGTGATTAGAGACATTTGGTTTGATATAAAGCAGAAAGGAAAGGTCACTTGTGTGAGCTAGCTCCATCACAGAGACTTTCTTTGTTAAGGATGTTTTCACTAAAGTCTGCATCCATTAGTCTTGTTTTTGTTGTGTTCATGTCTCCACCACTTCTTGCAAGGATTTTTTTTATACCCCATTAGCAGGAAATCACTCATCAATCAAGTTTGTTGCTCATACAGTCTTTTTTTTTTCAGATATGCTTTTTAAGAAGTAATGTTGCAGGTGGTGGTGTCCTCTCAGAAATTAAGAAGGCAGCACTAATTTTTTCATTTTTTCTATGGAATAAAACATGAATTCTACCTGACATTTACAAATGCACATCCAAATACTTAGCCAGCTTTTGGGTGAAGCTGCTTTTTTGCGTGTTTTTTGTTTGAAATGCAGTAAATTATCAAAAATCCTTCAATGTCTTGCTTCCTAAAGAAGAAGAACAGTAGATTTCAAATTAAAGGCAGCACTTGATTCTTACCAACACATCTTGCAGGTACAGCTCAACACTGGCATACTGATTTGAGATTGTAAGCTGAAAGCTGCATAACAAAAGATTTGAATTATCAACCTCAATATAAGTTCAGCAGCATACCTTCATATTACAGGGAATCATCTATATTATACTATAATATACTGAACCAATTGTAGTCAAACGTCAATTCTATTTTTGTCTGTTTGGTTGGACTGCTGATGATAATCATTATCTACATAATTTCAAGCAAATAACTTTGACCAGGTACTGAAAATGTACTTCATTACCCTATGCTAGTGGTAGTATAACAATTGTTTATATTGACCTAATTCATTTGGTTTACCATACTATTGATTTACATGGCTGACATGTTTCTGTGTAAGTCAAGACAATGTTTTATGTGTAAATAGTAACAAGAACTTCTTCAATGCGTCTCTCTCCATTGCAGCCAGAATCAATTAGCAATTAATATGCAAAGCTGTTTGGAAACAGGAATAGGCTCAACCTACCCATAAGGCTTAACTTGCCCCATTATCCCCTTAGCTAAGAGCCAACTTCTCGACTGTTTCCTTTCTTTCTTGCTCACCTCTTCCCTCCTGCATGTTCTGTAGTTAGGTGTTTACAAGTTGCTAGCTGTTGTTTGCAACCTGCACTAGCGATGGTTGGCTTAATAGGGCTTGGTTAGGTTAACTTGTCTGGAAATCACCTGCTCGTGAACTCTTGTTCTGCGTCTGCACATATGCCAGCCAGCCGAACGGACATAACGAGCATCTAAGATTAGACAGTGATGTCACTGTGGTACAGAAATTGGGAAAATGTAGCTTGTTTGGATGCTCCCGCACTGCTTGATCAATAAAACAGATAAGCTACAGAATCTTTTTGTGGTGCCGTTACTGCCCAATACTGTAGTTTCCAAATTAAATATATTTGTCAAATACTATTTAAAGCAGAATTATAGATCTTGCTTTTCTGAGCAACCAAAGAAAACATATTTAAAGACTGATGTACCACTAGTAAAAATGTAAAAAGAAAATAACTTAAATTGTAATTTCTAATCCAGCAAGCATGAAGCAACAAAAGCATTTAGTTGGTGGCCTTTGTAACTTGCCAATGCTAAGCCCAATAATAAGCCTTTTTTAAACTTTGTTTTTGTCTCCACCCACTCCTGAGGCAAACCTCTGTAGTTGCTGAATGCTTTACTAGTTTCAGAAGCTGGCTGCTCACTTTGACTGTGGTTGGGTTAATGGCAGTTTTTTCTGAAAATGATTGTTAGCTATACTGCTGCCTTTGAAAGTGTATACAATCGAAAACAGTTAACAGAACAATGAGCTAACCATCTCAAAAGTGCTATGGTGCTTATTAACAGTGTTAATAAACTATTCAATAGGCAATTCATGTTTTAACTCTTGAAATTAGTCATCTGTTGTTTTTGTAATTTTTCTTTAACTTGGCCATTCATTGAACCACAATTTACTTTTTCTGATCTCACATAAATAACACTTTACTGTATGTACAAGTTGCTGGACTAAACAATTTGAATCAAACCATGATAAAACTTCTGATAGTCAATATTTTAATCATACAGTAGTTTGTTGAACAATACTCTGTGCCAAGGCATCATTCTTTCTATGTTTGCACAACAGTTACACAGTGTATACTGCAATATATATATTAAGACTAACCCATATGGTCTTTGATGCAGTAGGAAGGGAACAAACCTTCTCAGTGGTTTGTGAATCAGCCAATCACGTGAGGAGTCCTTACCTTGGCCGGTGAGCAAGGTTGGCAGCAGTGATTTATGGAGCCCTTTATAATTGTAAGTTGTCATGTAAAAAATAAAGGGATGCTTTGCAGAGCTTTTTTTTTTTTTAATGATTTATTTTTTGGGCTTTTTTGTGCCTTTAATTCAGAGGGAGGACAGTGGACAGAGTTGGAAACCAGGGAGAGAGAGCGGGGAATGACATGCGGAAAGGGGCCACGGGTGGAAGTGAACCTGGGCCTACCGCTCGAGACGAGAGTCTAAACACATGGGACGTGCGCCCTGCCACTGCGCCACCAGCGCGCCCTGCAGAGCTTTTTACTTAGCAAAATGTGTTTATTATTTTGGTGGAAAAGTGGGTGAAATGTAGGAGAAAATGGCTTATGAATAATTAATACTCATACAAAAGAGTAAAGGCATTAAAGCACAGTTAGCCTCTCCAGGCTTTTCACTCACTTCCTGGCTGGCTGCTCTCTGACAGTCCAACAAAGACAAAATAACTGATAGCTTATTTTAGATATGTGGGGTTCCTTACTTTAAGTATACTTGAAAATATCTATCTTTGTCAGTAGTTGTTCTTGTAATTTCTCAATTAATTATCCTTCCCTTAGCAACAAAGTCGTTTTTTATTTTTTACATTAGACCAGGACACAAGTTTGAAACAAAAGGTCTGATGGTAGGCCTTTGTGTACACCTGTGTCTTATGTTTCTTTTTCTTTGTGCTTTGAGTTGACATTTTCACCAAACAGAAACGGTGGTGAAGTAAAAGACAGAAACCGATCCACTGAGGCTCATCAATTCAGAAAGAACTGAGACATATTTTTACAGCCTTTCATGTTCACTGTACTGTGAACAAAACTGAATCATTTATTAGTGCTCTACTCTATGTACACTGCCTCATTCCCATTGCACACACATTCACGCATGCACACGCACTCACACACATTTTATTTTAATTTAGTTTTTGCATTTATTTAAGAGAAAATAGCTTGCAAACTTGGGTTGCTACCTGCCATGTTTTTCAGCATACAGAGTCTATTGCAATGAGAAGAGGGAGTGCTGCTGCATCTTTCTGCTTAGTCCCATCTCTCTCTGTCTCTGTCTTTATCTTTTCTCACCCTCCCTTTATGTGTGTGTGTGTGTGTGTGTGTGTGTGTGTGTGTGTGTGTGTGTGTGTGTGTGTGTGTGTGTGTGTGTGTGTGTGTGTGGTGTGTGTGTGTGTGTGTGTGCGTGTGTGTGTGTGCGCGTGTGTGCGCGTGTGTGTGCGCGTGTCTGTGCGCGCGTGTGTGTGTGCGCGCGTGTGTGTGAGACACAGACATAGAGTTTTGACAGGGATTGAGTCCTGAGCAGAGCAGGGCTTCAGCCTCAGTGGAGTTGCGTAGTGATTAGTAATGAAGCATTGAGAGGTGTTTGTTTGCCAGACTGAATACACACAATTTACCTGAGATTTGGCAACACACATTGTGATTATCAACATGGACATGAAATGCTCTTTTTTTTCAAATCAAAAGTTGAGACCAAAACCACATATATTTACAGAACCAATGCTCACCGATATTTCTTCCATTTTGTCCCCCTCTTTGATCTACAGGAAACGAAGCCCATCTGCATCCAGGGATCCAAACCAAAAATACGACCAAAGGGAGGGGGGCGACCATTCACAGTATGCCCCGACGGACGGCAGTATGCCCAGATCACCGTCTGATTATGGGGATGGGGACCCCCGGCGGGCTCCGCGGGGCCCACACATGTACCCAGATGTGGATGCGTCACGAATGGGCTACAGGGACCGGCGTGGTCCTGGACGCTGGCACTCCCAGGAATACCCGCTGGACCAGGAGCTAGATGGACCACCTAGTGAGTATGACCTCCAGCGGCAGCGGCAGGAGGAATTCCAGACTCGCTATCGCAGTGACCCCAACCTTGCACGCTATCCCATTAAGCCGCAGCCCTACGAGGAGCAGATGAGGATGCACGCTGAGGTTGGACGCCTGCGACATGAACGCCGTCATAGTGATGTCTCCCTGGCCTATACAGAACAGGATGAACCAAGCCCCATCCGGCTGTCTCGACAGCATCTCACTGAGCGCAGGCCGCCTATGGTGGGACAGCGCTCCTACTCTGTTGACCGCTCCTCATCTGGGCCCATGGGTCCTGGCCTTGGAGGCCATCGAACCTCTAATCACAGCCCCCCCACGCCTCACCGTAGCCCTGTACTGGGTGACAGATCAGGGGACCTGCAGAGAGGGGACCTGGGTGTAGGTGGAGATCCAATGAGGAGGCAGCAACACCACTTGGACCCTAGTTCAGCTGTTCGCAAGACAAAGAGGGAAAAGATGGAGAGCATGTTGAGGAATGATTCCCTCAGCTCGGACCAGTCAGAGTCGGTGCGCCCACCACCCCCCAAGCCCCACAAAACCAAAAAGGGAGGAAAGATGCGCCAGGTGTCACTGAGCAGCTCGGAGGAGGAGCTGGCCACCACGCCTGAGTATACCAGCTGTGAGGACGTAGAGATAGAGAGTGAGTCAGTCAGTGAGAAAGGTAAGGGCCACACTCACCCCCAACATGTAGTCTACTCTTTATTTGCTGTGTAAAATGCAATTAAAAAGTCATCTTTATCTAGTACTGACAGAATGTTGTTGTTAGGCAATACAGATCACTTTTAATCCGTAAATGATGACCTAACTGTTGTTGCTGTTTAATGTGGATATTAATTCTTGCTGTTGTTGACTCAGATTAACATTGAGATGACCCAGTCTACAGCCCCTCTCTATGTGCTCTGTATGTCTTCATGTTTTATGTGTAAAGATGGGTGTATGGCTCATTATTTTCTGGAAACAAAACTATCTTTTAAAAATGTTATTATATTCCTGAATTTCTAACATTTCTAAAATCAATAGTACCAACATCTGGTATACTTTTATAATTCAGGTGCCTTTGTTTTGGATGTAAGTTAAATAGTCTTTAGTTCTTTTGAGTCACTAAGGTGCAACCTCAGCAACTCATTTGCATTTCTTTTTATGCTTTTTTTTTTGTTTTTGTTTTTGACTTTTAGTGCGTCCTAACATGACAACAGTTAATTATTTTGGCAGAAAAACACTGCTTTTCATGAGAATGGTAACATAGGTATGAGGCACTGTCCTTTTCTTTTATATTATCCCAACACTTTCTAAAAAAAAGCAGAAAAATTAAAACAATGAGCCTTACATATGTGCAAAGCACCATTGCGTTTTATGTGTTCTCTTTAACTCTTCTCAAACAGCTTTCATGAATTTGAGGAGGAGTTCGGCTCACACATGAGCCTGCCAGATGTGTTTCAATGTGGATGGATGTTTATGTGTGTGGCTGTGATTTGTAATGAATGTAAAGCTACTACTCTTGGAGCCGTCTCCTTTTGCTGCAAAGTCATGGCGTAATTTTCAGTTCCTCAAAACGCTGTTTTAATATGATCAGTCTGCACTTATGTTGAGTGTTAGACAGAACAAGGAAGAGGGCTAGGTTTGTTGTTTTAGTGAAACAAAGTGAGCTAAGACCTTACTTAAGGTGAGTTCACACTTACATTGCATTTTATTAAATGGTTAAAAGTAGTTTAACTGAAACAAACTGTATCTCCTCTGTTAGCTTTGGAGACTCCCAGGCACAGTGACCAACAACAATGGTTGGGTTAGGAAGAAAAATCTGATCTAGTTTGGGAAAATGACAGAAGAAGTCATGTTATATCTGCTAGTGGTATACTGAAGTGTATTATTTTATGTGTTCATAATATTGGAACCACTCAATAACACAGGGGTTCCCAAACTTTTCAGCTTGTGACACCCCAAATAACGGTGCTACTAATTGGGGACACCCTTTGTCCCTGGGGATGGTTAAAAACATTTAATGTTGCACACAGCCGGCCACACTATTGCCAAAACATTGTTGTAAGAAATGCAAGAAATAGAACACTCGTAATCTCTTGAACTACGTTTTTGTATATTTTTCCCCAATCATGGATAAGATATGCTATTTTAGATTGTTGTGGTTTTGGAAGGAATCTCGCGGCCCCCCTTTCAATGTCTCACGACCTCTCAGGGGGTCCCGATCCCCACTTTGGGAACCACAGCAGTAACATACTGTACATGAGGGGTGCAAATGATTGACAACACTTTTAAATATGATGCCGTACAATGAGAAATATGATAATATAAATATGAAGAATCATTACCTTTCTAACCATGTCAACAAAAAAAATAAATGTAAGCTGTATAAAAGTAGAATTTATGGTTGAGCTGTTGTATTGAATTGCACCGTATAACACAGGTGGTCATTAGGATATGTCTGAATCTAGAGTCTAATGTAGCCTATAATCTTTACAGGCAACCAACACTTTCTATTAGAATAAATTTTTCTATCTGATCTGAACCACAGAATCACAAAGTACCTATGACAACTACAGGATTTTTTAAAGCAAGCTACCTTTGAAAAAAAGACACTGTAATCAAATAGTGGGGAATGCCCCACCTGCTTGGAATAACATGCATACTTTCCAAGTCTATAAACACAGTCTGAGTGACTAATGCCATTATGCATTTAATCAACATCATAAGCAATTGTTTAGCCCGTTAGCATCTTGACTGCCCCACCTGGTTGACATTTGATGTAATTACAAATTGATTTTGTGGTCAAACCTGTAATTACGGAGACCTTTACCTTATACATTTTTAAAAGTACTAAATACAAAGAAGGCATAATAAGCACAGGCAAGTTGAAAGAGTGACTGCATGAAATGTCACTCTAATATAATCAAGTTGCTGTTGACAATTGAAGGAAGTAGATTGGAGGATAGTAGAGAAGAGTGTAGTTTTCTAATGTCAGTAGCAGTTCACCAAAGTACCTGCCACGTCCTGAAAATGTTTAAACTAGAGGAGAGGGAAAGAATCAACTTGGTTTGTTATGTAACTGTTCTCCTCACTAAAGGGAGCAGCACAGCACCGGTGCTACATTATTGATGTGGGAGTTTCCAGGTTTACAGGAAGCCATGGTACAAAAATAGGGAGAAAAGCAGGTTGTTGTGAGTGTCAGAGTTTTTCTGTTTCTGTCTGCTTCTGTCTGCCTCCTCCATGGGTTAACCTACTTATACTTAACCTATACTTAACCATGGGTGTAGGAAAGAGAGGAAAAACAAAGAAAGTAATTCAACTTTTGACCTGAATAAGTAGGCTTTTCCACTAACCTAAGAACATCCCTGGACAGCTGATTATGTTGAGCTATCTTGGGTTCTTTACTTGGGTATAATTGGCAGTTTCATAATTTTATGACATAATTAAGTCTGCTGTGATATGGTGCATGTCAGGAGGCTGATAAATGGTTCAGATTCAATTCAACTAAAGCACTATTTGAAACTAGAGTGTCCTTGTTTGCTCTGTTTCAGAGTATACTTCATTATGCAACATACAGCAGGGATAAGATCAATAAAAAACAATACTTTATTAGAAATACCATGATGTTGAAAAATACGTAGAAAGTTCCAGATTTTATAGATATTTAAGATGCTTACAAAAAAGAGACTAATCCAAATTCAATTATTTTTTCAGTATAAAAAATAAGGATTCATCCTGCATATGCTGTAACATGCGCAACATGTTTGTGCAGTCGTCTTGACTGGGCAGAGAGTTGTGTGTTTAACAGCAGGCTAAGTAAGGAGGGTGTTTGTTATGCTTTAAAATCTCTGATACCCAAGGGGTCTGGTGAGGATTGAGGAGGTTTTGATGGGCTGAGAAGGAGGGGATAACAAAGGGAGGAAGAGACTGGAATATAGAGTATGTGCCAGCTATAATGGGTCTTGCTTGTGCCTGCGAATGCTGAAGACTGATTTATCACGATGGTCTTCTCCCTGTGTTTTTCTCTATATTGATTCCCCTGACATACAGTCACATGATAGTGCCGAACAGACAGAAAAAGGGACGCTGGCTGACTAACTTCAACACAGGGGTGGAAATGGTGTAGTGACAGGACAACTTAAGTTACATCCACATTAATCCTTTTTGGGATACAATTCTGGCACTTCAATAAGTCTGTTAGGTTTGTTGTCTATGTTCTTGAGCTGGAGCTGAGAAAAAACATTTTTATTAACTTCACTTTTCACTTGATGGCTAATCATTTTGTCTTCGATTTGAAAGAAAGTATTTTTTTTGGGGCATTTGTTCTTTGATTTACCTCTACTGAGGGTTTCACGTGACACAGTACCACCTTGTCTAAACATACACAGTACTGTTTCACCCCTGCCTCTCTTCTGCTCTGGCCCCTTGAATTGTAGTAAAAACAGCATCAATAATTAATGATCCAATTAATAGTTTACACTGGTTTTTATTGAGCTGTCAAAGTGATGGAGAGCCTGCTGGTAGTGAACTCAGCCACTGAATGCGCCCTACCTTTGCCCTGAATCAGCACTTTGTGGGCTTCAGAGCCAGGGTGAAACGGCAGGGTTGGGGGCAGACTGCTGATGCTCACAATTTATTGCCATGATGAGATTCCTTCTCCCTGAAAAAACACACAGTGCCTCGCTGGGGATCAGTGCCCAATTGTGGCATGCTGCTGGTTGTAAAGCTTTGGGGAAAGTGAGGGGGGATGCTGTGAGCATCTCCATAATTTGGCCCACTGTTTTTTTTTTTTTTGACAGACATTAAGGATGTGTGTTTGTGTGTTTGTGTGTGTGTGTGTGTGTGTGTGTGTGTGTGTGTGTGTGTGTGTGTGTGTGTGTGTGTGTGTGTGTGTGTGTGTGTGTGTGTGTGTGTGTGTGTGTGTGTGTGTGTGTGTGTGTGTGTGGGTGGGTGGGTGGGTGTGGGTGGGTGAGGGGGTTGTCTGAGGGTAGCACATAAAATGGAATGTAAAACAGGTGGCGATGAAACTGCCATTGCTAACCTTGTGATAACAAGAACTACAAGTATTTTTTGTATAGTTGCTCATATTAGTCAAGAATAGACAAATACAATTCTCACTGTCTTAATGTAAGGTAAGTTGATATATTGGTCCTCTATGAGGCCATAAATGCAAGCCTTAAGCTATTTGGACTATTTAGGCCACATTAGGCAAGTGACTTGTAATACAAGAGTGTCTACCATGCTGAGCTGGCTCTAGTGGTTATGCTGCCGAAAGAATAGCAGCCGGCAGGCAAAGTGGGTAATCACTGTTGACAGCTGTGGGTTAGAGGGTCACAGAGGACAAAGCCCGTCTGGGGACATCCATAATGTTTATATTACAGAGCAAACTGTGTACATTAAATAGTTTTAACATTTACATCATTGTATAGTGCTTTTTTAGTCTTCTGACTACTCAAAGCGCATTTTACACCGCATGTCACATTCACCCATTCACACCACATTCACACGCTGATGGTCGAGTCTCATATTTGTAAAAATGCAACTTACATCCTGAACGTGATTAATAAATCACATGGACAACTCCAAAAACAAAATCAGGTTTTCTGTGACTGACACAGGCCTGTAACACTCCTCTCCAGACATTTGATTAAGGCTAAATGAAATGATGGATGGCCTAGCTGCTTGTTTACCTGTGTACTACACTCTGCCCCTGCACACCTTTTGGCCCCACGTTTTTTCTTTCACACCTTTATGACACTGGAATGATTAAGCTTAGATTGGGCTACTAGTTCAGTGTTTATAAGCAGGAGCCTGGGTGCTTAGCTTTGATATTGAACTGCTTAATCTTCCTTTTATCAGTGAAGATACCAGTAGATATTGAAAATTACGAGTTAATTTAAGTAATAAAGTAATAAACAAAACTAAATAGCATGATGTCTCCACTGTGGAACTAACTTACTCAAATTATGAGCTATGCTTGTATTTCCCTTGAAACAATGTTGAGTATGTTTAAACATTACTAAACCTTATGTAGTGAAATGTTCACTATATAAAAGGAAAAACAAAACTACTGTTTTCTCTTCCACTTTCAGTATAAGTTCACAATATTTTCATCGAAATTATATTCACTCAAAATGCATTTTTCTGGCAATTAAAAGAATTAAAATGAACTCATAATAATTACCAATATTAAGTAAACACTTATTTTTATATTGTAGAACATGTATCAGGAATTATGTAGATGTTGCCTCCTATGAGTGCTGATCAATTATTTCATTATTATTATTTATTCATAATCATGCAGTTTGCTTCTCTGTTCTGTGCAAGAATGTAAAGGGAGGATATGGTTAGCTTTGCTTGAAGAAGGGGCAGTGAAGTGTGAAGTGTGGTGCTGCTTCTGAAACTTCTAAACTCACGCCCCTTAAACAAAAGGATTTAGTAATTAAACCTTGTGAATTGCTGGTTTGATTGAAATGACTCCTCAATTTAAGACAACAAGCAAACACATAGTTTTGACAGCAAAGCAAGCTGCATTAAGCCTGTGAGCCTGAGCTCAGGACAAACAAACCCCACACCACAGGCTTGTGTATCTTACATGGCAGTAGTGTTGCAAAAGTCTGATGACTGCTGGCATTTGTATTTTAGCGCTTAGGCACGCATTTGTGGATGAATGTAGGTGAATTGGTGTCACAACTTGTGGATCTATATAAGCATTTGTCGACTTATTTCCCATTTGTAGATCTATTTACACATTTATGGATCTATTGACGCAATGTCAAATAGTATTGCAACAATACTAGCTCCACTGTCCACAACTTAAAAGTGTGGTTATTATTAACAGTTGCAGCATTCTTCTTCGATATACCTAAAATCCCTTTCTCTTTACCCATTTAAGCTCCAGCTCCTATCATTTCCACTTAAACATTCAGAAGCAGTCTCCTTTTGTTTTTTCCATCAGAGTTCCCTAATTTCCCTGAGATTGAATCCTCAGCCAGATAATGCCTGAATGTGGCCTGTCCTGTATAGATCCATTAGCTTCTATAGCTCTTTGCAGGGCAAGCAAAGTGTGGGAAAAGTGATGCTTAAGGCTATGGGGTTGCACAAGCACAGTATTTTTAAGTGACCTTACCTGTGCCTGTGGTCCTGACTATCACTACAGCAACTAACATTCATGCAAGCACACACATTTATTAACAACCACATATAGCAGTGCAGGACCTGGTCAGCAAAAAGTATTTCTATTTATTATAATGTTTAACGCACTCTCAGGACTAAAGGACTAAAATGTCAAGACAAAGACATGGTCAATCCTGAGCAGTCAGACAGCATCTCTAAAAAATAAAACAATTTCTCTATCATTGAACAGCTTCACCTTTCGGTCCTTTTTAACTACATTATTCTTGCCAGTGGAAAATTTAAGCACTGCCTTTAGATTCAAGTTCATTCATCTAATTAACTAGGACTTTTAATCCTCTTAATCCAATTGAAAGTATTCCTCATCTCTTTCTTCTGTGCATCCACTTGGGAAACCATAACAATTCTTGTAGAATGACAAAGTTAGTTTTGCATATGCTTTCCAGCTGATTAAGTTTTCACTGTGAGTTTATCATTATTCTTACTTTAATGGAGACATCATATCAGCATTAAATGATAGGCCTCACTGCAACTAAACCTTCAGCTTGGTTATTTCTATAAGAAAATAAAAATCTCCCAGAAATCTCCATCCTTACTTTCGCAGCCTCTCTTAAAGCTGTGTGTCTACTACTATAGAGAGGTAATCAGAGCCTCATCTTTAAAAGCTCTCCATGGTGCACTTGAGATTGAGGTCAGTTAAGGTTGTGTGGCACAGCAGACTGAGTCCCCTGTTAAACACATTCAAGATCTGTTTGCTGTTCCTTACAGATGCAGCTACTCACTTTCCCAGAACAAATTGTGACTGTCACTTGTTTTGCACTAACATATTGGGTCCTTTAATGATTGTTGCCCAGAAAATGAAGTTGGAAAATAGGAGGAAGACATTCAAGTTGAAAGATTAATGAAAATAGTTTAATAGTTCCCAGAATTTCAAATCGTCCTATCACAAATTCTGTTGACACCTTATCCACTGTCCTCATCCCCAGTCACAGTCCATTCAATGTAAAGAGAAAGACATTTAAGAATGGTGGACACTACCTGTCACATTCACCCTTTCACATTCAATTCATATAGTTATACAAAGTGCCAAGTTGCCCATTAGTACATTTCTCACATCCACATACTGTGGCCTCAGGAGCTTGTTGCTGTGCAGTGTCTTGCTCTGCAAGGACACTTTAACATGTGGCATACAGTGGTCAGTGATAGAAGATGACCCACACTTCCGAGGGGTGGCTGTGGATCAGTTGGTAGAGTTGTCGTGTGTCAACCATAAGGTTGAGGGTTCGATCCCTGGAAAGTTGAGCAACATATCTGATGTGGCCTTGGGCAAGACACTTAACCCCAGATTGCTGCCATTAGTGTGTGAATGGGTGGGTGTGACATGCGGTGTAAAGCACTCTGAGTAGTCAGAAGACTAGAAAAGTGCTATACAAGTTCAAGTCCATTTACCTCTACTCTACACCGAAATATAAAATATAAAAGGTCTTTCCTTCAGAATTTAATTATTGGCTATAACAAAGCAATACAGCTTTTCACACAAGTTCAGATTTGGTGTCGGTCACAATTGTACATTTTGTGCTAAGGGCAATACAAGTTTAAAAAATACAATTTTGAACTTAACACATAGGTTTGCATGTTGTTGGTATTTTTACCCAAAAAAAGATGCATTTTTAGATTTATTGTACTGCAGGAAAAAGGCAGCGAACATGTAGTCTCCAAAATATCCAATCCTATAGAATTTCAAGAATAAAATGCTGTTTTTATTGTTAAAGTGGTGATTATTGTGAATATATTATTTACGTCCTTTATGTGTTATTACCTTTCTCAACAGGATTCTTTCAGTTACAAAGGATCATTCTGAGCAGTATGTGAGAGTGCGCTGTGTGTGCATAGCTGAGATTTTGGATGTTTGTTTAGTGCTGTATGTATGTATTCAGTATGTATGCTCCTGTCTGTTGTAAATTGTGGTGTCCTCACTGGTCCCTCTTGCTGTCCTCTCTCGTCAATGTGCGCCCTTTCCCCCCACCTTACAGGAGATTTGGATGGCCATTGGTGGGACCATGCGTCTTGGCATAGCAGCGAGGCCTCCCCAATGTCTTTGGTGAGACATGTGGAGCCCTGCCTTGACCCCCTCCCTCCTGCCCCTGACCCCCATCTCTCTTTCCTTCTCTATGTCTCTCTCCTCCCCCATCCCCCCTCCCAGAGTCTTTTGTCATTTCATGTTTCCTTCGTTTTATTTACACCTTTGCATGTTGTTTTTCTGTTTTTCTTTCTGTTTTTATCCCACACCTGTAGGGGACAGTCAAAGGGGAAAAAGAAAAACTATTGAGCAAGCATTTATGTCCGAGCCGACACACACCTTATCTGAGAGGCAAAAGAAAATGGTGCGCTTTGGGGGCCACTCATTTGAAGAGGACTTGGCATGGTGTGAACCGCAGGTTAAAGACTCGGGAGTTGATACGTGCAGTAGCACTACCCTAAACGAGGAGCATAGCCATAGTGAGAAGGTACTGAGACAATCTAGCCTGCATTTTGTTATTATTTATGACCTACCCATCCAGCCTTTGTTTGCTCTTTGTCACTAAGTGTAAATAGGTGAGATGTTTGTTTTTTGGATTTTATTTGACGTTGTATAATGGATTTTCCTTGCGATTTCGTTCCTTTTTGTTTTTCGGTTATGGCTTCACCTAGCTTGGTGTTGCCTAAAAAGTCTCTTGGGGACACCCTCTTTGCTTGCTACCTGTACTTGCTGTTTTGCTCCCCAAACAGAAACCACACATCTAATAGTAATTGTTAAAGAAGAGCATTGATACACAACCTCTCTGTTTGTCATGGCACACAGGAATGTGGGTCTCTCCTAGTTGCATGCTCGTTCTCCTCCGTATGTTGTGTTCTTGCTCTGCAGCGGTCCTTTTAGCGCAGTTGGAACACCTTTACTCAGGCCCGTCCCTTTCACTCTGCTGCCCTTCCCCACAGCACCCAGTCCAGACAGAACCTGCCCCTGCTCAACTTTCCACTCACTTCTATAGCAAAACCCAGTTATGTAAGAACACAAAACAGGACAGACTGGATATGTTTTGCACAAAAAATAAAAACATTTGTTTTTCTTTTTTCCCTTCCACTGCGCGTCTGTTATTTCACCCTACCTGTGTCTCATGGCTTTATTCTGTGCTGTGTTTATTTCATCTTTTAGAGATCTTTAAACTTGCACCTCATGGTCCACCTCATTTGTTCTTTTAAATTGAACTTTTCCCCCCCTTTTGCTATCTGCTCTTCCTCACTTTTCCACTTGACAGTGGTTTATGTTTGTGTGTAGTGAAGCAACAGACTGAGACTCCAGTGTTCCTGCTCTGTTTGAAGAGTTGGTTTGAGGAGTGTTTGGGCTGCTTGCTTTACTCTGCATGGGATGCTGCATGAAGCTCACTCTAGCCTCACACTGGCAGGTTCACACAAGCTCTAGAAAAACCATTAAACACTACTGTGTTAGGTGTTGTTTTCAATCAGTATTTGTATCCATGATTAGCTGAGAAGATAGGTATCTTTAGAATTTAAATGAATGAGAATGTAGCTTTCTAAAAAAAAGATTAATTGATGAGCAAACAGAGTTTGTGTGAACTTTCTTCCTTGAGTGAATAAAGACTTTCCCCGTGACCTCTTTTCACTATGAACAGTTGTCTGCTTTGGTCTAAAGTAATCACATTTAAGTGGATGAGTTGTTAAACAAAAGGTGTGTTGTTGCTCTGACCTTTAGCACCCGGTGACGTGGCAGCCGTCCAAAGATGGGGATCGCCTAATAGGGCGTATTTTACTCAATAAGCGTATGAAAGATGGAAGTGTGCCTCGAGACTCAGGAGCTCTGCTTGGTCTGAAGGTGAGCTTATAATGATTTTGTCTGTGTGTCTATGAGTATGTATGTTGCAAGCACACATTAAAATGAAGAATATTTACACATCATTAAGCTTTCTGCTGTGACCTCATTATTCTACCTCCAAAAAAAGCATGTTGAAATATGCAGATTCAGCACCTTTAATCCAAGAAATGTTGGTTTTAGCCACTAATTGACCAAACACAGGTACTCAGAAGGTTTAGGTAAGTACTGTATCAGTGTTGGTTATGAACATTTATTTGGACAGATGGAATAATGACTTATGACTCCATTTTCTGGCTTTTTTTCTGTTGGCTTTCAAGTATTGATTACATCATGGTGTTGCTCAGTATTAATATTCATTGAGGACTCAGTGATGACACTGTTGCGTATTAATGCGAGACATTTGATATTGAGCTTCATGATTTATAAAATGTATAATTTTCTGAACTCCAATTAAACTGAATAACTGCAGTCAATCAAAAAAAAAAGTTTTGTCTTCCAGATTTGACCATTGAAATAGTATTTATTTTGCACTGTAACAGCAGTGTTTAAGTATTAAATATCAACACCCCAGTAGTCTATATATATTAACATTTCATGCATACTGACTATGTGTGTGTTTATCTAACTTCTATACTATAGGTAATATTATTGCTTGGCATAATTTGAGGCTTTGGTCAGTATATTGCTGCAGTGCCTGAAGCTTATATACAGTACCTGTTTTCTGTTGTGGTAGATGATTTAATTTCCCCTCCCTTTTCAATGTTACATAAATCTGTAGTTGGTGCTCAATTGTAAAAAAGCTGAGCAGTCAAAGTCCACAGGAGCATGCTGGGCCATGAGGAAAGAGAACAGAGAACAGCAAGATGGGGAAAAATCATTACTGATTGAATGACTCTCCTGAAATGGCATGTTTGTGTCTGCTCAGTGCCTCTGTGCATTTTTGTCCACTCAGCAGCAGTCAACCAACTCGGCAATCCAACCAGTCAGTCCATCAGTCAGGCTGCCAGCCTCGCCCTCTCTCTCTCTCTCTCTCTCTCTCTCTCTCTCTCTATCTCTCTACCTCTCTCTCTTCTCCTCTACAGGCCTCCTTCTCTGGCTCCAGCCTGTTACATAAAGCCATTTCATTTAGCAGACTTCCCTAAGCTCTTTTGTATGTTGGCATTCAGCTGCCATTAAGAGGGATTTTTATTTGTATGATGCCCATGTAAGCTGAGTGGAATGTAGTACAGCAGCTCAGGACTGCACAGTACAGCTCTAGCCCATGGGCTAGCGCTGCTACAGATCCACAGAGCAGCACCACAGTGTGTCCCTGGGGAAGAAAGCACAGCTCTGGACATGTTAAAAAATCAGATTTGCACTTTTACCACCGAACCTGTGTTGTAAATGCTTTTATTGAAGATTGAAGATGTTTCCCTTGCAGGCAAAAGCTAAAGCCATATGGCATCAACTGGAAAAATCTGTCGTCTGTTACAAACATGTTCTTAGCATGAACTCCAAAACACAAAAATAAATATGTAACACTGACTCGTGTATGTCACCTCTCTGCTTCTTCAGGTGGTTGGAGGCAAGATGACAGAATCTGGTAGACTATGTGCTTTTATCACTAAAGTGAGGAAAGGAAGTCTAGCAGACACTGTTGGACACCTCAGACCAGGTAATAAAATCACACATTCAAGGAAACTTTTGTACACTATTTCTTATTGTGGATTTTTTTTAAGTATGCTCTAAAGGTGCAATATGATTTATATTTTATACAGACAGCAAAAACAGCAGCATAAGAATGAAATATTAAATATTCCATGTGTCCCTGGTGTTTTTGCAGGTGACCAGGTGTTGGAGTGGAATGGGAAGCTTTTACAAGGAGCCACATTTAAAGAAGTTTACAATATCATTCTAGAATCCAAGCCTGAGCCACAGGTGGAACTAGTGGTGTCACGGCCTATAGGGTGAGAGCTTTACAGTCACTGTCAAACACAAGCACACCATTGCTATGTTCCAAGTTAGCAGCGATAGTACAAACTTTGGAGACCACATTTGAAGGCCAATTACGTCACAGCGCCGAACGCTGTCCCATTTCGAAGGCTCCTTCAAATGCGTCCTCCTCTCCCCGACCAACCCGGATCCATTCAGTGCATCCTTTGTGGTTCAACAAATCTCAACATTTATTGCGCACCTTATTTTAAAATAAACCTCTAATCATAGTCAAAGCCTGGCATTATAATTATGATTTGGCGTACAGTACACGATAACAGACTATGCATAATTTAATAAGAGAAGCAAACACAATAAAAATGGAAGTATAAAAATAAATAAAACAAATAGAAAGCAAAAAAACAATAAGAATTCTAATGACGAATTAAGATATGTATAGCTTTGTAAATCACCTAAAGGCATGTTTGGCTTTACACATTCCAGTGTTTTCTTGAAGTTTTTGAAGCTCATTCATGAAGATTAAGAACAGTGGTCTGGTCTTTGTAAATCTACTTTTGTATATTAATTGGTTGTTCAATAATCAGGGTATTATACATTGGCTAGTTCAGCATTAGCTGCTGAGGTGGTTAGGCGACATAAATCCTCTGTAGACCAGACTGTCAGTTCAGACTGAACGGTCTACAAGGGCTGGATCCTTCATATGCTGGATCCTTCATATGCTGGATCCTTCATATGCTGGATCCTTCATATGCTTGGTCCTTCGAAGGATGCTACCCCTGAAATGAGATACAGCTATTCTTCACCATCCAGTTTTGCCTACAACATCTGTCCATATTACCCATCTGCCTCTTATTCAGAGATAGATTCCAGGATCCTGTGACCCCCCCCCCCAAAAAAAATGTACCACTTGAGACTATGAGCTTTTTTTAAACCAATTGAATTTTATGCCATTAAAGGTGTTTTTTTTAAAGGCTCCTTATTTGATTCAGTCGATGAGAACACAGATTTTTTTAAATAGAAAATTGTTCAGTGGACATTTATTAGATTAAAACATGTCCCTCACTTAAACAACAATAAGGGGGTCTGTGTAACAGATTGTGGCATTTTACCGCCGCATTACTCAGAATAACTTTGAACAGGTATGTTTCAAATCAGAGGGTGAATTTAGTTTGTTTTCTAACATCATTTGTTAAATTGAAATAGTGGTGCTGATGTTGTTAACCAACATCTGTTCCTCAATCCCCCTGGCTGTCGCTCTGTCAGCGAATGAGGCTGACAGCACAGCCTGAAAAAATAAATGCTGCCGCTTCTCTTCTACACTCTCCTCTAGCGGATTTTCAAAGGGTTAATTGTGGGGATAAACAGAAGCACCTTTGTCAATTCCTATATCTGACCTGCTTTGTGCTGCTGAGGGAGCTGCTGGGTGAATCAAGACTAATGCGGTGCTTACAGTCATTTAACCACAGTGCAGTCAGCATTAGCTCAAATTGATCTTTTCCATCCCTTCCTTCTCTCCCTTCTCTAACAAACATGTTGTTGTTTTTTCAGAGATATTCCAAGGATACCAGACAGCACACATGCACAACTGGAATCAAGTTAGTCTTTTTCAGTTCTTATGCCCATTTCATTACCCAGACGTATCCTGTGAATCTTCCTGGAAATATCAAATAAAGAAACTGTCTTAGAATTGTGTCTTTTACTCTGCCTCAGCATACTTGTCTTTCTTGTCTTCTTTGTTTCTCTCTTCCTGTTTATGTTCTTGTCTTGACCACTGACGTTTGCATTTCTCGTTTGTCTCTTCTTCGTCTTCATGTCACTAAAGCCACAAAGTAAAAATAACATCCTACTAAATAATTTGATTGTGTCCTTTTTGGTCTGTCAGGTTCGAGTTCTTTTGAGTCTCAGAAGATGGATCGCCCATCCATCTCCGTCACGTCCCCCATGAGTCCCAGCATGCTGAGGGACGCCCCCCAGTACCTGTCAGGACAGCTCTCAGTGAGTGACCCCAGCATCTCATACAGACCACATGTTAATATTCTGTTAGAATGCTCTGCCCACTGTTGAAAACTTATGAGTGAGATGGGTAATCAAGACCATATGAGTATATTTTGGAAATGCTTAACACGTTGTGCATTGATTATGAAACTCAAAGTATTTAACCCTGGTTCAAAAAAATGGACTGTCAGCTACAGCCTGTCTCAATCTGCCTGTTCATACCGATTTACCAACCCAGCACAGGGATTTATATCAGGTTACTGTGTGTATTGTCCATTATCTAGTATAAAAACCCTCGAGGGGGTAATGGGTAAAGGGCTGCATTAAAGCAAGAGATAAATCAACTCTCATCCACAAGGGAAATAGTTCAAGCATTTATGTAATACCTTCTGGACATGATTTGCTTACACTGTAGAGAAATTTGACTCCCATTGAAACCATTCAAACTATTTCAGCTGACTGAAAATAAGCACTGAATTCTAAAAAAAGAAAAAAGAAAAGAGGCCTAATATTAGATGCATCTTATGTTTTAAATGTTCTATGCACTGCTGGTCTTGAAATTATACTGAGCACTGAAACAGTTCAGTCCATTGAATAATTCTGCACAGTAAAGAAATGATAGTAAGATATTTTTGGAGCAGTCTGAGTTGGGAATAATGAGGGTTTAAACGTCACTATGACGTCAGACTACAGAGGAGTAGAAAGAGATATAATTGTGACTCATTGATCAGTTCAATGGGTCCATGCAGAACAGAGCAGAAAGGCTTAGGGACAAGGAATCAAGCAGAGACGCAAGAATATAAGTGAGAGGTGAGAAAGTAAAGTACGAGTGAACCGGGTGGATTTCTCATTCAGAAGTGTTATTTCTGTTTAGGGTGAATTGTAAGTTTTGTCATTGTTTTGTGGGGTTTGGTTTTATGCATTTTCTTTCCTTTTCCTTCTTTTTCTTTTTTTGCTGTTTAATTTTGCTTATCCAGAGCCAAAGCCTTAGTAGAAGAACAACGCCTTTTCCCCCTAGGGTTCAGGTAATGGGCCCTGTCTGAAGGGCACAAACTCTATTTGGTCTTTGCTCCTTGACTGTTGAATGGCCTTTTTCTGTTTCCATACTTTGGAAAATGCATTCCGGGGGAAATGGCAGCTTAAAGTTTCCCTCTCAGTGCAGTGCATTCTGTCATTTTCCTTCAGTTTGATTTCTTGAATTACTGTCTCTCAATGATGAGAGTTATTATTCATTTTAACCCATTCATATCATTATTTCAAGATAGTGCATGCTAAACTAATCCGATCACATTTAAGAGACACTCTTGCATTGCCTTATTTTACACCAGGATTGACTGAACCTTTTGTTATATATTTTGTAACATTTGCAATACAGGATGATGTCCCCTTGAGCAATTTGAGGAAGAAGACTTTATTTTTCGGTTTAGTGTGACATGAAACCCAGGTCTTCAAACTTCAACCCTTCACATATCTATAGGACAACTCCTTTATGTGCCAGTTATATTTATCTTGTAATTAGTAAAGGGACCACATTCAATATTAACAAAAGCAGCTTGAATTGTTGGTCTCAGTTCGTTAGTTGAATGTTGCAGTGAGAAGATAGATAGACCACTGTCCTGTGTCTGAAACCAACCAAATCCTGTTTTCCCCTCCAGATGAGAGTACACCAGTAACCAAATTGTACCCTGTACCTTACACCTCTTTAACAGATTTCGAAATGAGGGTTTTCTTCATTCTGAGGCATCTTTTAATCTGCCATCTTAGTGTCTTATTAGTGTGTCTCATTTTCTGTTTTTTGTTTTTTAATGGAACGCAGAAAAAATCCCTTTGTGGGCTTGCATTTTTGATTCAGGTAGCTTGAAATACTCCTATTTTCTTCTTATTTATATCTTACAGTATGTTGTTTTGCCAAAGAGTACCCTCACAAAATTGTCTGCAAGTATATGCTTGAGAGATTTCAAATTTAAAGGATAATTATTATCTCATTGATGGTGTAACATTAAAGACAGTACAGTTCAGTCATATTTTGCAGTGTCGGGAATTTTGGAATGCAACACACTAAAATTTCTTTGCTACAATTTGTTTTCTGTAAGCCCTATGCTGTCTGTTTTTGCCTATGAAATCTAGTGACTTATTTTGAATGCGTTTTCTTGCATTGCTGCATGGATAGTTGGTAGTTTTAAACTTTCCCATAGCCTTTTTTTTTAAAGAAGTATGGACAGGAGCTTAGAAGTTTATCATTTCATCGACTGTCCTGGCCTCAGTTGGAGTTTCTTCTTCTTCTAAGTGTCCACTTTTGAAGTCCATACTTCCCTTTCAGTGTAAACTGTCCTTATATTCCTCTTCCTTAACTGCATGATAGATTTCTAGCCCAGTGAATATGTGAGAGAATATTATGAGAGGCAAAAGCAACACAAGTACACTATATCATTTGAACTAAGCACACTGATGATTGTAGAGCATGTTGCCTTCAGCCTTTTATTTCATTTTGCTTCAGTGGAAATGACATTCAGGCCAATTGCATTCAGTTCCATTCAATACACTTTATTCATCCCTGCAGGGGAAGGTTTTAATGACAAGTAGAAGCACATACACTTTAGAACACTTAACTTAAACAACAAACAACAAAAACAACAACACAAAAACAAGGCACAACAAACAAATACAGAAACACGTCTTTTATATTAAAAATAGCTGTCATACACCATCAGCAACTTTGACATTTTTTGCCTTTTCACAGCACATTAACACTGAATAAAGTCCATGTTTTAATGAGCACTGAAGCATGTGACATGACATCATCTTTGTAGGCACATACACTTTTTTCCCCTAAAGGGTGAATACAGGAGAAGACCCTATGTAGTAAAAAATAAAAAAACGTCAGTTGATATTGCATGTAGGTCAACTATTTCTTATTTGAAGTTCTCTTCTCCTGTATTAATCCCTCTTTATGGTTTCAACTTGCAATGGCCCTGAACAGTCCCTCAGCAGGCTATCTCTGTTCTTCCCCTGCAGGTCAAACTTTGGTATGACAAAGTGGGCCATCAGCTCATAGTCACCATCTTGGGCGCCAAAGACCTGCCTGCTAGGGAAGATGGCCGGCCCAGGAACCCTTACGTCAAAATATACTTCCTCCCTGATAGAAGGTAAGAGTAGAGGGTGTTACCTTACTAACCCCCATCATTTGATATCATGTAATTTTACACATTTTTAAAATGAACTGGTTTATATGTGTATATATATATATAAATATGTGATGTTACTGTGTGATGTCACAAAGTCCTGTGTCATTGCTTTGTATCCATCAGTATAAAATAGCTGTACGGATAAATGGATGTGTCTAATTACATGGTTGGTTGTTCAGTGTAGTTCTATTGCAGTGAACTGATGAAGAACCCTACCCTACCCTAAGAATGCAGAAAGTGGACATTTTCAGGGAGATAATAAGTCATCCTGCCATCCCCTTCTCATCAACAGCATGCTACGTTGATGTGCTCTGTGCTCTGTGATCTGTGGTGTTATTGATCTTTTGTATTCGTGGCTCTTCTCTATCATGGTTGTAAATAAAAACAGTTTGAATTATTGTTCCTCCAGCGACAAAAGCAAGAGGAGAACAAAAACGGTAAAGAAATCCTTAGAGCCCAAATGGAACCAGACCTTTATGTACTCGCCTGTGCACCGGCGAGAGTTCCGAGAGCGCATGCTGGAGATCACATTGTGGGACCAAGCCAGGGTGAGGGAGGAGGAGAGCGAATTCCTAGGAGAGGTAAGAAATCCAAAGCCACGCATGAGGGACATTCACTGACAAAATCTCAGCCTGTCCTTGTTATTGTCTCATTGTCCTTCTCTAACGTGTAGTTTTTTGTTTGTTGTATGAAAACTAAACTAAACACAACTAAGAAAACTAACATACACAAAAGAGGGGGGGGGTGATTCTTACTGTAAGAGTTCTTATAAGCATTGTAGCAGTGTGTTTCCTTTCAATTGAGGAATTTAGAAGAAAAAAACACAATTCTTTTCTATTGAGGATTTTGTTTTAGGAAAAGACATTACTTTTCTCTTTCGGCAGATCCTTATCGAGCTGGAGACAGCTCTTTTGGACGATGAGCCACACTGGTACAAGCTTCAAACTCATGATGTGTCCTCCATCCCGCTACCACGTGCCTCCCCAAACACACAACGCAGGCAGCTCCACGGAGAGAGTCCAACACGACGGCTGCAGAGTACGTAACCCCTGCTACCAAACATGGCTCAGATATGATATGAGATATTGTTATTTGTCGCAAAGAAAGCATGGAAGTGGCTATTCTTTAGGGAAAACTTCAGTTTTTCACAGTGTTATGGCAACAGCGGCGTAACGAAGCTCTGCTGTTAATGTGCATTGAAACATTCAAATTGATTGGATCGGCAATCTGAATAGGGCTAAAGGTAACCTTTAAAAATCATGGCAGCTAACTTTCTTTATAATGGCGTCGGACAAATTCTAATGACTGCAAAGATTCAATAACAGCCCTCCAGTCTGTATCCATAATCTCCAAGTAGCTGATTAACAAAGTGCAGTTGTGGTGAATCTAAATATTGTTGGCCAGTAGAAAACAAGTTCATAAATCCCTTTACTCAAACCAAAGACAACTTTAAAGTGTGTCTAGTTTAACCATCATAGGCACAACTGTTCAGAATAAATTCAGATAATGTTGTAAAATTATTGATTCTATACATTTATAGTTATTAAAGGATTTCACTGCCCATATGAATATTTGGAAGATCCTTTTGATGTAATTCTTCCCCCTTTAAACTCTTAATACAGAGTACAAGCATAACAAGATAAATCCACTGTCACAAAGTGTAAAATCATTGTAACACATGGAGTTGGCAAAGCTATTATGAAGTCTTCAGCAGTCTGGGCAAATCAAGTGTACTGTAAAGCTGAAAATGGTCTCTTTTGGTTTGCTGAGACCATAGATATTGTTATTGCTGGACTCGCCAACATTGTTTATATTTAAAGACGTAGCATGCAAGGAACACATTGTTTACAAGACTGGGTAGGTCTTACAATGAGTTGTAGTCATGTAGGTAATGGTAATGGCAGAATAAATGAAGGTAACTCTTTAATGATTCCTGATTCTCTCAGCTGTCTTTATTGATGCAGTACTCCCATGCCTGCTTCATTTTTATTTTATTAACTATAATTTCCAAATGTATGTCCTCATTTACAAATAAGGGTATACATACAGTAAACATATTCATTTCCCTAACTGTTTTTGAATTTGTTTCTTAAGGCTTTCAAAAACAGATGTCTTATGTGTCACATCTACCTTACTGCTTCTTCTTTCACAGACAAAGGCTCATATTCGCACAACTCAGGTAAAGGCCCCTATGTGGAGAATCTGCTTGTCCTCCTGTCCACCTTCAAAAAAAGCATCCTTGTGCCCTGATTCTCTGCCCCATCTTTCTGTGAAGGGTGCATGTTTCTGCTGTCTTTCATGGATTTCAGTTTGGGAAGTTGCTGTAAATGTAACACCAACCGTTTGAAATCCACTCATGGTATAGGACATTTGAACCCTCAAAGGACAGAAAGATTTAGGACACAGTTGTCTCTTCCTCTTTGTTTATTCACCTGTGAACTATTTCAAAATCCCATCCTGGAACCCACATCCATGTCCTGCAAAACTGCACTTTATCCTTATCCTAAAACAAAAACTAATTGGTACATACAAATGACCTTTAGTCTGACCACTTGCTTTTCCTATGTCATGTATATTCAGTATAATCTTCCCATTACCAATATTCCCTTTTTGTTAACGCAGAGTATTTTTCAAACCTTGCACTTTCTGCTATGCTTGTGTTTGTGTGCCTTAAATGTACATTTGTTTCTAAAAAATGTCACTAGATGACATTTTGCGTGATTCTTGTGTGACACTTTGCTTATTCCTCTTAATCAACCAGAAAATTGGTTTTGTGTTTACCTAGAAAAAAGGAAATTGTACAATAGCTTGTGACATCCCTCTTTTCCAACGACTTGTATATTCTATGAACAGATACTTGTTAACATACTGTGGTTGACTTTACTGTAGTCCATGTTACACAGGACTGCTTCACTGTACTGCTTCTACTAGACACTTAAGGCCTGGCTGCTTCCCCCAGCAGGGTGATTTTCTGGGCGTTTGTGTAAGTGTGAGGTGAAAGAGCTGACAGCTGTAAAAAGTCTCCAGCCAACTGAGATGAGAGGTTGAGAGAGGCAGTGCCAGAGTGCAGCACTTGTCATTTCTGATAAAGCACATGTGTCCAGTTGATTTAGGTTTGAATGAACAGTGAAGGTGGTGGAGGGGGGGACTGCAGGGAGGGGTCATACCTTATAGGGATGGGACAAGGAAGGGTGATAAGTGGACTGAAGAAAGAGTTGTGAAGGCATTTAACAAGTGTGTCACCCCTACCTTCACATGTAAAGGGAAAGATTGAATGTGTCTTTTTAAAGTGCCACACTTCAGATGAAGAGACATCTGCTGTTTTAAATTTCAGTTGAGCAGTGAAATGCAGCAGTGTTTGTCAAAGCTGACTCATATTTTCACATATATAATCTAGAGTTGTTTATTTAGTGGGTTTCTGCACAACATAAGTTGAAGACTGACAATAAATGTTTTGGTCTTCATCTGACTGGATTTAGCTTGGGCCATCAGTTTATCCAATTGAGGTTACATTTCAATCAAATAGGCATATTAAATGACCATGGGTAAACAAGAAAATCAAAATGGCCCACCCTGACCCGTATGTCTCTTTCTTTCTCTCCTCATTTGATCCTGCACACCCTCCTTCCTCTTCTCTTTACCTTTCCAAGGATCCCAGAGGATAAGTGACAGTGAGATCTCGGACTACGATTGTGAAGATGGTGTTGGGGTAATAACAGGTAACACAAAATGGAAAAGAGACATAATGCAAAAGTATATGCTTTGTTCTAGGGATTTTTCTGTAACATCATTTTTTAATTTTTGAAGTTTATTTGACATGTGGACTGAGCATTGACATCAAATGCTTGACAAACCAGCCCCTAAAGACAGTGATATACCATAGTAGCAGTATAAAATGCTGCAGCCCATCAGCACAGAGAGTGAGCACTGAGATTGTACTTGCCTCTACACTGCTAGTTTCTGTTCTGCTATACTCACCAAGGCTTCAACAGCATACCCACGCTTGCACATCCAAAAAGGAGAAACAGTGCCGTCATCTGCCAGAGACCTTCAGAAAATGATGGAGAAAAAGAATGAAAAGTACCTGAAATAAGGCCACATGAAATATCAATCTAAAACTAGAAGAAAATAAAACTCGAGGGTATCAAAGTCATACTTCCTTTCCTGCAGTGTTTGCAGGAAATATGTAGGTAACTTGCTTAACAGAGACAACTGCCTGTCCTGTTGGTTTTGCACACTGGTGATGCTTCACATCCCTTTCAGAAGCTAAAGTCTGGGAGGGGAAACGTGACACATTAACAGGAACTGTATTGTGGAGAAAAGAAAATAGATTTACTTCATGTATCAGATAGTCATAGTCAGGCGGACCGACTGACTCACTGACTGCAGGGAAAGAAGAACATCAGCAGGAGCTTACTGATGATACTGTAGTTGAGGGAAATCCTCCTCCAGCCTCTTAAACATTCTCACCACCCCTTGTCTGGCTCACACTGCCAGCCCCCTTCACTTTATTCACAGTGATGGGAATGCCCCTCCACTCAACTTTGGTCGCATGCGCTTCTTCTGAACTAAGGCTTTACCACATATCAGTTTATCCAGCAATCTTTGCATCAATCTTCTGACACAAATACTTTCCAAAGGGGCAGGACAGATTGTTTTGATTTACTCTAATGGCAGGTTTCTTTTTTGAGAAATAAAATACAGCAGGCCAGAAAAGTTCACACAAGCTTTGCCTCTGTTATCCTGTTATGTTTGCTTTTAAAGCACAATTCTGCTTTTGGTCCCTTGAAGCAAGAGAGTTTAAGAAGTCAGATACTTACCTTACACAACTGCCTGAACATTCAAACTTATATGTCACTGCTATAGCTGTTTCCTACTTCTGCACTGATGCATCACAGTACAATTGTTATATCCAATTTATTATAAGTTTTCCCTGAATATATGTTCCTAACGAGTAGTGGGTACTCATGCATGAACTAGCATGTCAATGAAAACTTTGTACATTATTTGAGCTCTGCATTTATGTTGTTTTCTTGGCTTGGAGCTTGTGGAAATGTTCATTGTTTTAAATGGTGGATGTCATGTTCATCATTGGGAAGTAATATATTGTTTATTTGTATTTGTTTCTCATTGTTTAAAAGAAAATATCAATAGTAGAACTTGTTTGTTACTCAAAATGTATTTTAATTTCAAAATGTGGCTTACACTTGCAATTAGGATGGATCATTTAGTTAAAAATATACTTGTAGATTTCTAACAGCTGTCATGCTCTGCCACTGCCTGTCAAAGACAAACCCTAATGTATTTAAAACCTTCATATATTATCGTCAAACTTCCTCAAGTAAAGGTCAACAGTTCTTTATCATTACCTCCAATTTTTCTGAACTTTCCTTATTTTCCAACTTTTAATTCAGGGGTCTTCTTTAACTCATTTTAATATGCTTTACACTCTATTGAATATCAATCAACTTTAATAGTGCTAATCATTGACCTTAACTTTACCTTCTAGCCATGCCTGATTATTGGTTAATGAAAGCTTTCAAGTTCAACGGACTAGTCAGTCTTGCAGAGAGAATTCATTATAATGATTCAGATATTTAAAAGGCTATTTTCATGTTAAATACACAATATAAAGACAGCACATGATTTGCACCCTCATTTAAATCTAGTCCTCAAATGTGGAATACAGAGTGTCAGCAGTTTAGTTTGTTTTGTCTTGGCTGTTACAGTGTGTTGTTAAATAAGTTCTGTGCCATGTAATCATCCTTTTTATTGTCAGATGTTCCAGGTTTTGCTTTTTCATCCACTCACAAAACATGGTAATTAACAGGGTGTTATCTTGGACAAAAAAGAGTGTCTTTTTTTTTTTTGTAATTTAAATTCCAGCATTGGAATTTGTTTGGTGTCAGAATATTTATACGGAATGTCACTCTCTTCCTTTGTCTGCCTTTGTCTTCACAGATTACAGGCCAAATGGCAGAGACTTCCAAAGCTCCACGTTGTCGGTCCCTGAGCAGGTGATGTCGTCTAATCACTGTTCTCGGTCAACTGATATCAACCGGGCGCGATCGCGCTCTCCCAGCGTCCCCCCACCCTCCAGGTAACTAATGCTCAGGCCGCTACTGAGTTAACCTCGAAATTCAGGTTGAATGTGTAGATTTCTTTCATATATTGATGTATTTTTTAAAATATTTTTTCCTGTCAACATCCTTAACTGACACACCTATATTGAAACAATAATTCTAAGATAGATGAAGTTTAATTTTTGCTTGAGCAACTTAGCTGAATAACAATAATTATGCAAATTACTCTAAAAAATGTGAATTCTAAAATCCTTCAACCCTCCAAGTGGCCCTCCAAATTCCACATGTTATCTTTGTGGGGATGTATAACTTGTCAAGGCATTACTGAATGCCTCACATAAAGATGGTGGCAGCCCTGGACAGTAGTGGCAGTGTGTGGTGTATTCAGTATATAGGGGGTGATACAGTCCGCTTCTGTCACACAGCAGAAGTCTGGACCCAGCCTTTGACCTTAGGCCTTCTCAGTACAGCTCCTCCACTAGAGTGGACCACCACAGTGTGTCTGAAGATAACTACTCACCTGACAGGTACACACACACACTCCAGCTTACACTTGTGTGCAGTGGATGCATGTATACGCTGGCATGCATGAACAAATGCTGACAACCACAAGTGGGGGCTGATGAGTTACAGATATGCCGGGAGGTGTTTATGCACGCATACACTTGTGCACGATGCTGCGTGCCTTGAAGTCTCGCGGACTGACCTTTTGTGTGGGTGCTTTCTGGTAATACTGCTTTCATGGTGAAACTTTCACCTTCCTTGGAATTATTTTAGCAACATATTTTTGATCTGAAACAGTGGTTAGGAATCTCTATACCTAAATATCTAACTTCCTCAGTCATGTATACATAGCATATCAATTCTGTTACTTCATTTACTCATCAGAAAAAAATGTTTTACACACAGCAAAATGTGCAAAGACAACATTGTCAGACAAGTAGATATTTAATTTGATATTTTTCCATCTTATATTGAGATGGCTGAAATTATGCAGAAAAAGATGGAGCCAGTGCTGCAAATCTCACTATCTTTATGGGAAAAGGTGGTCAAGGGGAAGTGGTCAGTTATCCTCCATCAGCACTTATCTTTTGTGGGAGTAAGAAAATGTTGCTCCAAGAGTGGAATCATAGCCTTGGCACTGCCAGGCTGCAGCTACTTTACTCTGTCCAATTATCTTTATTTGATATTTCTGAGGCTTGGCCTAAATCAGTGTCAGACGCACTTATCTAAATTGTCTGGGACAGTGCTCACTTGACTATATTTCCTTTGCTTTAATTAACAGTGTCCTCTTATTTATTGAAAACAGTTGAAAATGACACAGGAAATAAGTCACTGTTGCCAACAATAATAAAAACAATATAATATAAGTTTTTTGGGACTGTGTCATTTTCGCTGTATTTTCCTGCTTTATTGAATTTCTTGAAATTGTGCCTGTAAAATGTTAATATCCTTTTGTAATATGCATGGTCTTTACTCGTTCAATCATCCAGTATAGAGGCTCAGTGCAGGTGTAGGTGTATTCCATGTCCCACTCTCCTCTGCAGTGCTGTTTGTGAAGCTGAGAAAAGCATCTCCACACCATCCAATTTTTCTTCCTCTCTTATCCTTTTTTCCCTTTTTTTACTCTTTAAAACTGTTATATCAACATTTCCTATGAGCTTTCCTACTACTGCTACTTTTTATCCTATTTCTTTGAGGAATCTCTCGTGGTCTCCCCTCTGTTTCCCCACCCCTCCATCTGTCTGTCTGTGATTCTTTATCTCCAATCCTTTCTCTCACCCCTTTTCTCCTCCACTACGTCTTCTCAGCGCCATCTCAGATCCATCTCTGTCTTCTCTCCTTCCTCCATGTGGTTGCAGCCATTTTCTCACCCTACCTCGTACCAGACATACTCAGCCTATTGATGATCTTCAAAGGGACTCCAGGTAGAACTTTAGCTGAGCAAGCATGAAGCCCATCCCTGCAACTCCACTTTTCAATCCAACACGTTTTTCTTCTCTTAAGGAAGTCTTTCATTTTGGTGAAGAACACATGGCACTGACACTTTGGCATGTTTTTTATCACTGTAACGTTCCCAGTTTGAGAACATCACAGTAGTCATTTAAAATTTATCACGTAGCCTATCTACATTGCACTGAAGAAGTCTTTGTTGTATAATGTACTTTATTTGATGCTTTGAAGAGGAATCTCTAGATCACCTGGCAATTGTCAGTGCCATCGATGTGGTGTTGTGTTAAAGTCGATATTTCTTCTGCAGGAGATTAAATATATCCATGATGTGTATTAGTTTTTATTAGCACATATAATGACACACACCCCAACCATCCAGTATCAGCATTGCTTTTTCTCTCTTTTCATAATCTAAGTCATTTCCAAACCTTCTTCTCATTATTTCTCCAAAAATGTGCGATTTGAGCAAGTGTGATCACTGGGTGAGAACGTGCCTCTTGTTCTTTCATCTTATCCATCAAAGGAGTAACTGAGTGGTATGGCAATACTGAAAATGGATTAGTGTTCAGTGGTTGTGAAGTTTTGTCCAGCAGAGGTGTTTTTTTTTTCCTTCAAAGACACTGATACATTGGGTCTCTTAGTTAACATGTAATCAATATGAATCTGTGGGATACTTTTGTGCTCAGAGTTCAGCCAGTGCAAGTCGCTGATAGAAATCCAAAAGGTGTTCTACTGCATGTCTTCCTTTGCAGGTTTTTAATTCCACTAAAACTTCTGCTGGGAAAAGAAAAGCTTACCAGTTGTGATATTTTTTTCGGCAGCCGCAACCATCGTGTGTACCCAATCTGCAGAGAGGAAGCAGTCAGGTTACTGCGTTCTACTAGGATGTCCCGTGCCTATTCAGAGGGCGCCTACTCCTCCGACTATGAATACGAGAGGTATTGGCATGCACTGCCACTGCATCTGTGCATCCACCATCTTGTGGTCTACTAAAGTTGTCCCTAGTTCGTTTTTATTTTATCCGTGATCTGTAAATGTGATGACAGAAAATGATATCTGTTTGATATCGGTTTTTGTTATTCAGTCATCCCAGCTCTGAAGTCTGTTGCTGTAAAATAACACAACACAACTGCCTCTGTATGATGAGGTTCAGAGCTATGTATGTGTCTCCTGATTGTTGAGTTATTTGCCAGCCAGCACCTGTTTCTACATTTCGACGTCCTTTTTATGTGCCCATGTACGTTATACCAACTGCAGTACATTGATCAGTGGTGTGTTTGATTTTTGGTGTTTTACATGCTATCTGCAGCTGCTTATTGCACACCTATACAATGGCATCTCAGATGCGTTGCTGTGGGCTGCACATTAGCTTTGTAAATTCTGTGTTTGCCCATTGGCTTCTTGTGTCTGGCCAAAATGGGCTGCCAGGCCCTTCCAAGCATGCTGACACCCATCCATCTCCTGGACCTACGCCAGCATTCTGGTGCACCAATAAAAAGAAAGTACTCACATTGCCCCATAAACGCTGTAAAAGGCTTCTCCGTCTTCAATCTTCCACCTGCTGCCATTTGGCTTTTAGTCAGGAATAGTGTGACTCTGTACCATGGAGGAAAAAAAGTGATGATTCCTCAGAACCCGGCCCTGGAGCCTGAGTGACTTTATTAAAGTGTCACAAAGTTTCCCTGAGGCCTAACTTGGCTCAACCTCAGGCTCAGTGTATAGCCTATATCACCATTAACAAGACCACCCCCCTGCTTCTTTTTGTCACCGACCAAAGAGCGGACAGTAGCTAGCATCTCAGTGTTATCCACAGAGGAATATGATAGATTTCTCTCTTCTCTTTACACAGACACAATTTGTTTTTGTCTGCTTCCAGGCAGAGTCAAAGCAAAAGTAGGAACTGAAGAGACATGATAGCAGGACTAAAAAAACTGTAGGCATGTGGAAGAAAATGAGTCAAAGATAAGAAACAGAGCATATGTGAAGTTCAATCCTTTTTGTCAACTGTCTCAGTTTGTGCGATTGTCCTTGCAGAACATGAGAAAATGTTTTTTATGGTTGCGTTGTTTCGGTGCATTGCCCCAGAGTGTATCTTGGAAAGGAAAAAACCTGCTGTGCACATTGTTTAGAACAGCAGCTTCTAGAGATTGAGTAGTTTGACATGTTACAGACATATTTAGAAATTCAGTATATCATAAGCAATAACAGCCTGATGTTGTGAACTCACTTATGACTGTAAAACGTCACTGGAAATGTTGATTAATAATGTGAAAGGCTAAAGGTAATTGGCTGGTGAGACTTTTTTATATCAGAGACAAGGATAGCTCCTCTACTGGACAATTTTTCATACTTCAATATGCTACAGACACTACAAGACCATGACAGTCCTAATCTGTGGATTTGTATTCAAATGAATGAAGTGAGTTCTCAAAATGTAAATTGAAAATGACTCAAACATGTCTTTTAGTGTCTACTAGCCTCATAAGAAGAAGCTCCCACCTCTTTGTATTGTGTAGACACAAACTTGGTCTTCTGTGCCTTAAAATAAAAACAGTGTCATGCTTTAAAAATCTAAGGACCTTTAACAGGCTTAGGTTGAAGAATGGAAACTTTTCCAAACAGTATGCTCTCAACCTCTGTGTTTGTGGCCATTCCTGTCCAAATGTGATATCAAGTATTTCCACATTTTTTAACATGTACAAGTATGATGCATTATTTCTTCTTTTTTCTTTTCTCACTGAAATGCTTAATATCGTTGTATTGTTCTCAATGTTTTCCCTTTTGAGAAACCTCACATGCTTTTTTCTTCAGCTCTTCAGGTGGAGATTTCCCTTTATCCTTCCTGTACCAAAAATACTTACAATGGCCTTGCTATTAAAAGAAAATCCCCCAGATATAACCTCAAATACCAAAATGCAATGCAAATATATACTTCACCTTACCCTCACGATTCACTCTGTCTCCCACATATTGCAAATGGACACCCACCCACCATGTTTAGAGCACATGGTCTCTGCCAGTTCTACATTATCTGTAGACTCACATCAGCACAGGAAACAAACACCATGCAGGGTTCACCTAGCTCTCTGCTTATAAACCGTCCAGTTGTACTTATGGAGAAGAACAGGCAATTTAGTAATGCTAAAATTTGAGAGTTGCATGTGAGACAAACCATATGTTCATTTCCTAAAATCCACAATGCAAACTTCAGTATACAGGTAGTCTGTTACTACTTAAGTTTTGTCTAATGTTCTCTAAGAGTTCCTGGAGAATTTGAGTTTCTCCCTCGAAAGGACACTAAATGTAGGTAGGTGAATATACTGGGGGGAAAAATCCAGATAATATAACAGCATTTAACATAACAGCAAACCCCTTCCCAAGGCAGGATGATGTGTTAAATGTCTTTATTTCACAGCAGGATAAAAAACACATTTCGTAGTAGACTTAGTAAATATCATGTCAACTGCAAACAAAGTCATTTGAAAATACAGTGAAATTTGACCATAACTAAAGCATACACTTGTGTTCATTCTGTCTGCCTACTTTCAGAGATTGCCACGTTTTTCCCCAAAAATAAAGATGTTGAATAAAAATGCGTAGTGACAAATGTGCTTAACAACAAGCATTTGACTTGAACGTATATTCACCTTGAAATTGTGTTAAAGGTGCAGCTATTTTGGTTGCCCTCCATACTCTCCAGCATATTGACCCTGCCCTGCTGGGGCTCCACTGAGTGCCTGCCTATTTCTCAATAACCTCTGTAGGAATCACGGAGCCATGGATAGACACGAGTATCACAGCAGGTCCCGCTCTGCAGACCAGCGACCCACTATAGAGCGCCCCACATCCCGCTCACGCTCCACTGAACGCCCCCACGACTCTTCGCTCATGAGGTCCATGCCGTCCCTGCCATCTGGGAGATCTGCCCCCCCCTCACCTGCCTTGACGAGGTGTGACCCAGATCAGAGAAGCAAACTAGCACAGACTCCGACTGGAGTTTCAGTTGTACATTCATTTCCCTGAGGGGGGAGATAACTTAGCATTAGCTTAAATATCAATAAATTGACCAAAAAATATTGATTTTGCTAAGTAGGAAGTTCAAACTAGAGTCTACTGAATGAATTACATCCTATATTATTGTGCTAACTGGGAATATGCAATAAAAACAGTGAATTCATAACTGAAGGATCAGTTAGATAAACTAACCTAGCATTACATACCTGACCTAAATTGCTGACCCTTCAAAAAAATTGCTTCTTTTGATACATTTGTTAATCGAGGGTAACTCTATTTACAAATGTATCAAAAGAAGCCATTTTTTATATTCTTATTTGTATATATTTTCCCCATTTGTATTTGTCATGCTAATATACATGTCCAGCTCCTAGCCAATAGGAATTATTATTTTTGCCCCAGAGCAGCTGTACCTAAATGTTTGAACAACTGAAACCTTGTTATACCAAACCAGTTCAAACCCCTTCCCATTAGCTCCCACACAGCCCGAGCCTGACTAACTCATATAATGAACTAGAAAAAAACATCAATCCCACGTACCTCTCACCTTCTCAATACCCTGCTTCTTTACCTCACCTCACCTCACCTCACCCACCACCCACTCACAAGTACCCCACAACCCACCTTGCCATTTTCTGTTTTGTCCCCAAAAGTAGCTGTTGCTGTTCTTTACTCATTTCTTGGCCAGTCCTGACACTGTAGATAGAGTGCTAATTCTTTTTCATTTTGAACATACTGCTCATACGCTTGCGTGAATATAGCAGTAATGTACCTACATTTCACTTTGATTTCATTACTAACAACCATTAGTGCCGTTTAGCCTGTGATGGCATTCTGTTTTGTCTTTTTCTTTTCTTCCTTTTGTCTTGACATTAAGCCTTTTAAGTCCTTTTGGGGACAGTCTGAACGCATGGTCGCACTGGTCTGCTGTTTCTGCATTGAACTCTTCTCTCCTTGCAGCTTGATGAGTCGACTGTACATGCGATTCACACCTGGCATCTTTTATTGCAGCTCAGACCCTTACAGTTGATGTATCCCTCCACTCCCATGCCATGTGCCAAACATCATTGCTGTGTGGATTGGTTTTGTATATAGAGAAACAGATCATAGATTATTAGAAATTAGTTATTTATATATATATATATATATATATATAGATAGATAGATAGATAGATAGATAGATAGATAGATAGATAGATAGATAGATAGATAGAATTTGAAAATATTTGGAAAAATATTCAATCTAATATATTTGTGTCAAAACAAGTTGTTATTTTATTGTTTTATTAATAAAAATAAAAACACACACCTAGCAGCATCAGTGCTAACAGTGACAGCAACACATTTAAGAATATCCAGCATAGCTAACCTAACTGTCTAGCTAATTCTATTATCAACACAATTACTGTAATGGGATCCAACATATTTTCTAACTGTTCAAGCTGCTTATAGTTAAATTCAATTAATCGTGTTTAGTATCTTATAATATTACATAGTTCAAAAAAGGTATTAGTTAAAGTTCAAATCTTTACTTTTTTATTTTAAGCCTACTTTTTTAAAATTTAAACTGATAGTTTCCCTGCATCCACTTTAAGATCTAGTCCAAAGTTGTGTCTCACCCCATTGTCAACTACTTTTTGTCATGTAGGGCGCATCCTCGTAGTGGATCGGTACAAACAAGTCCCTCCAGTACCCCCATGTCCAACAGACGAGGACGGCAACTCCCCCAGCTTCCACCCACGGGAAAAGAGAGAAGTAAGTCACCTATAGTAAAAATGTTAATCTTTATTAAAATGTCAAGCAACTTAAAGATAATGGAACTTAAGGGTGTGCTTCTGTGCAGCTCGTACTTACATATACTTGAAGAAGCTTTTGAATTGGTGACCCAGCTGATTGGGGCTGGCTATGATTTTAAAGCTAATTGCAGATCACTTTACTTTTGACTGAGAAAGGAGGGTTGTGATTTGAACATGATATCATTTTGTGTTAAGTGATGGATCTTATCAAATATAAAAGGATATTCCTTTGATTTAGATTTTTTGGTGATTACTTTTGCCTTCCACCCATAACATCTCTACTTGGTTCCTTTTCCATTTCTCTATCAGAAGATGGAGATGAAGGAACAGAGCCTTGTGAAGGTCTGTACCTGAATGTGTAGGTTTAGTCTTTCAGACTGAGAGTGCTGCAGCACCTTTCTCTGAAGGCCAAAACCCAGCCTGCAACAACAGGTAGCTGGGTTTACTGGGGCTAAGCTTACTCTGGCGCTCCAAGAACCCTGCCTTTTGTTGCAGCTGTATTTGACTTTAGATATCTTGTGCCGTCATGTTGTATCTACCTTGGCCTGTCTTGATCCTAGTATTGATTGTGCCAATGTTCTTTTTACAGTTCTCCTCCTGTGTTTTTATTGTTTTGAGTTTTACTCACTTTATTCTAGCTACTTAGACTGCTGAGATACTTAACCTCAGCTTAGAAAATGCTTTACTGTCTGCTTCTATCAAATCGGGTAAGCTTGATGCTGTGAGCTGTGATTAAGGCACAGTAGTTTGAACTTTGCACATCCTTGGAACTACAAAGTGACATTTGTTTCTCAGTACTTCTTTGACCAATGTTATTTGTGGTAGCTACTTGTGGCATGCACTCTAAGAAAAACTGGGATGAAAGTAATGATTATTCTACGCGTGTCTTTGAATCAAACGCTGTGGCAAAAACAAAGACAGTTGAGAGAAAGGCTTGGGCAAAGGTAGAAAGAGGGCAAAAAAAAAAACCTGAGCAGTTTTGGAGAACTTGTCAAAGCAATCACAGCACTGATTCATCATTGTCAGAGTCCATGAGGGCTTTCCCTGTCTTCTGTAAAGCTGCCAACGAGCCTCTCTTGCTCTCTGTTTCTGGGCCATCTTTTATCACTCTAAAGCTCTTTCTTTCTGGATCTCGGTCACCTCTTTGTATTGCCTAATTTGATTAATTATTGCACAATTCACTCTTTCTTCTTTTTTCTTTGTCAGGCAGCCTATTCTATCTGCCTTTTTTCTTGCTCCTCCTTTCCATCTTAATATTATATGTTTTTCTCTCACTCTTTTGTATACCTGTCAGGCCATTGGCAGTCAGTGAGTCAGTGGTGGTCGTGGTGGTTTGGGGGGGGGGGGGGGTGTATTGATCTGACCTTCTGCTGTAGCTCCCCCAGAGCTGTATGGCACTCAGCTTTTGTAGTGAAAAGGTCTGTGTAAGTGTGTGTATTTAGCTTTTTATGGACTGAATCCATATTATTGCCACTTGCTGATAGCAGAGAAGGGCTGTTGATAAACCTACTCTTGATTTGACTCCTTGCTGTGTTTAGAAAGCTTGTCATATCTCATACATCTTTTTGCCATTTATGTTTTTTGTTTCTATGTGATGATGCCTAAGGGGTAACAGGGGAGGAGCTCAAGGCACAGGGATCTCAAAATGGTCGCCCAGGTGTGTTTATCCCTTCAGATACAGCCTTTAAACCTGTCCTTGCACAACATGTTTTTCTCCCCTTTCTTTCAATATGTGATGCTCTTGTTTCCTTGCTTCAAAGAGCTAAAAGCTCACGAGTTGAAACATAGTTCTAGGTGTATTAAAGATCAACACCTGCATTTGTAAGTACAAACTCTGTTAAGAGTTAGGTTATTGTTTTGTGTTTAGGATTAAATTGACGTACAGTGCAGGAACAGTTCATTCATTCACAGGCTTAAATGAATGGCCAGACTGTTGGCACATACTGGATTTCCCCACAGTTTTCACTTCCTACTTTACCATCTGTTAATGTGGCATGCTTCTGTCCTCTGACCACTTGGTGCTACTTTAAATCGCTGCCATAACTGTAGAGCCCACTGAGTCAGTGAATGAATACTCAGTGTAAGGTCTCTAAAGTTTCACACTTCAAAAATAATAATCTGTTATATCTGTGCACTGAGTGATACTCTGCAGGGCCAAGTCCTGTTGTAAGGAAGTAGTCTGTTGTGATTCTAGCATAGTAACAAAAGCATGGTTCAATTAAGCCATCATTTCACATATACCTGAATGTTTCTAGCATTTTGTTGTTTAGAATTTTGTAAAAATGCATTATCTCTGGAAAGTGGTGTGTTGGTGTGTCTTGTGTTTGAGCAAATTTGGCATGAAATGCCATATTAATATGACCTACAGTACCAATATAAGGGTTTTAAGCTCCAACATTTCAAGGGCCTCCATCTGTTCTTATACCAGCAGCAGACTGTGAGGAAAAACCCCAAGGTCCCTCAGTAAATGGGAGGAAAGGCAAGTCCTTTAAATAGTGTGTTGGTGTGACTTTGCTGTGTGGTTGTTCCCGGTCAACACAAGTTCTTCAAGTGTGACTTTCAGTAGCATCAGTGAAGTGTGAGTTGGAGTGATTTTTTCTTTTTTATTATCTGTGGCACACATATCAAGTCTTTAATTCAAGTTTCCCTGCACCTACATTTGATCTATTATTGAAATGGGTTTTAAGTTTATATAGAATGCTCAAGTTAGAGAGTTGCATGAAGCTGTGGATGATGTTAATATGGAGAGTGATACCTTTAGTGACTGTGCAAGTTTGTACTTACTGCTCGCCAATAGAAGTTTGTTCTGCCCAGCTCCACTTCACAAAGACAGAGTTATGCACTTCCATTGTGAAATCATCAATCAATGTAATTAGACATGGATTATTGGACACACACACATAACTGGCAGGTTCAGTCTTACAAAAAACTCAGTAGAGTATAATGCATGTTTTTTAGAACATCACGAGTTGTTACCTCTGTTTGCCAGCAGATGGAGCATAGTTCAATGTCTTTGATGAGGAGCTGTCCAAGATTTCAGTCCTGAAGTGACAAAGCAGTTGTTTCCTTCTTACCATTCCTTTCCCCTGCTGTCTTCTATCACTGCAATGTGCAGTATACATAATAGATGTATTGAGTAAAATGTTTTTGAGGAAACAAGATAATAAGAATCCTGTAGCATGAAAAACAAGTGTATCTATCTTTGCACCTATGTGTGTGTATGCCTTAGAAGTGACATGGGAGGACCAGCAGCGAGGGCTGAACGGCTCTTTATCTGATGGAGGGACTCAGCCACACCCGTCCCTCACAGGTTGGTTGGTCTAGGTGTGGATCTGTTGCTCTTAAAAAAGAAATTCACTTTGGTAGAGTATTGAATTTTCCCATGGCCAATCAAGAGTCCATGAAAAGTAACCAGCACATTGAATCTGTCCTTACATCTTGTTCACAGCAAACAGAAAAGAGTATGCTACCACCTAATAGTAATCCTCGTCATTAGTTGTCATGACAAAAGCAATGTGGGTTTGTTTTTCTGAATGTGTCATTGGATAGCCAAAGTTACATTTACTTTGGGCTTTAAGAAATAAGTCATCTTTAAAGCATCAATCATCTGCCATCTGTAGCTGACTGTAAAGTACAGAATCTGCTAAATAATGTATTATTCTATAAACTGAGAATTTAGGTGTCACATGAACCCGGACAGCAAATACACATTTTTAAAAAAAAAAATTTTAAAGATTTATTTTGGGCTTTTCGTGCCTTTAATGCAGAGAGAGGACAGTGGACAGAGTCAGAAACCAGGGAGAGAGAGCGGGGAATGACATGCGGAGAGAGGCCACAGGTGGAGGCGAACCCGGGCCTGCTGCTTGAGACGAGAGTCTCAATGCATGGGACGTGCGCCCTAACCATTGCGCCACCAGCGTGCCCCACATTTTTATAAATTTTTACCCTTTTATTTCTTAAAGAAACATTTTGCATTTCTTATTGGTTAAAAAAAAAAGTTATGCTATATGAATTCATTTCAATCGAAATTAAAGAAAATTTTAAATTCTGAATTTTCTGATTTAAAAGACCTTTTCATTCCCAAATGTAATAGTAAGTTGTTTCTTACTCATGGACTCTTAATAACATTTTCCACCTGCAAAGTCTAAAAACAGCTCTATCAAAGTGATCGGTCCTTGAAGACTTTTCTTGCTTCTCTGACTATTTAAGTTGATTCTTATCAGCTGGATTATGTAGGCCAGGTGATACAATTTGAAGAGGGCTTGTGTATTTGATTTCGGCAAACAGGATTATTTAAAATTATGATTAACATGAGGTTGCCGAGGTCAGCCACTGGATGGCGCCCTGTCTCTGTGTTTTCCTCCTTTGTTTGCAGTGCAGCATGGAGTTGATGTTACTTGAGACATTCTAATCTGTTATTATCGCTCAGAGTTGATACAGGCACTTTTATTATACGAAGCAAATACACATAATTGTATCATATCGGTGTCTTGGCACACTGCCTTATTCTTACTAATGAATACTTACTTACTAATGTAGTTAAGTTTGATGAGTTGCTGTGATCGGAAAATATGAAACCTTGCTAAGGAAATGAATTGTGAGGTGCAGTGTTTGCTCTAAAGTGCTTCATTTGATTCCATGAATCACATATTTTCCTCTTTTCAATTTTAAATTCTGTTCACTTGTTATGTCTTTTGCTAATACTGTATATACACAGGATCCTATTAGCTGTTAGCTGTGCAACTCATTTTAAACACTACCATTATTTTAAACACCACTAGGAGATATGTTTGTGCAAATATTTATTCTATTTTTGCTATTTTTTCTTTCATAAATAATGTGTTACAGTGTAACACAGACGCTCCCTCATCACCACACAGTTTGGTGGAATTTTGGTGCTGTAGAGAAATTCTGTTTAGAACGATGTTGTAGGAAAACATGGATCTCCAGTTGGTATGC